GAGTTTCAGCTGATTCATTGTTTGCCCACAAGGTCTGTTGTGACTGCTGGAGCGTTGGGTTTTGGCGGCTATGTCGCCCTCCAAGGTGTCCTCGCGCATGTCCAGTTTAGTTTTCTGGTTCAGCCCCAGGGTTGGGTGGATGTCACCTGTCTGGTCAGGGCGTTCAGGGAGTCCATGGTACGGCCATCCCTGGCTGGCCCGCTCATGGTATACGAGGAGCGGAACTTCCTCTCCCATTTTCAATTTGTTTGGCGGTCATTCCTTCCGCATTGGCGCTGCGACTGAGGCCTCTCGGCCGGGTATGCCAAATTGGGATGTGCGGAGGATAGGAAGGTGGGACTCTTGGAGATTTGTTTCTATGTGCGTCCCACTGGTTTGCGCAGTTGATTGTTTTCTCTTTCTCCGGGCAGATGCTTGAGCACTCGACGGTGGAGGTCCGGTGCCAGGGGGCATGAAGTGGGTCTGGCTCCTCCCGGAAGTGGTCTGGCTCTCTCGCGGGGGAGGGAGGGTGTCATTGGTTATGGTCATTCGACCTGGGTGGTACTGACCTGGGGACGGTGCCGCTCGAGGACTTGGTGGACATAGGGAAGCGGGACTTATCCCAGATCCTTATGTCATTTCTGGTTTTTTTTGCATAGTGTGGTCGGAGGTTGTGGCGAGGAACTGTTGGCGGCAAGCACACAGCCAGAGTGCGTTGGAGCGCTGTGGCGAAGGGTTCAACCGATGGGTTTCACAGTTCGTTGTAGGGGTTTGGGGGATACCCATTTTCATAGGGTTTTGAGAAGGAGGCGGCAGATTTGTTGCAGCCGGATGGGGTTCATTTGACTGAAGTCGGGCTTGACCGTTTTAATTTGGCCATTCGAGAGACGGTGGAACAGGCCATGGTTGGTTTGTTTGGGGTCCCCCACTGATTTTAAGCTTAAAACAGCGGGGTTGTGTCCTTGCCAAATAAGGGATGGTCTGGTAGATTAGATGAAAAAGGGGGATAATGGCCGGGTCTCATCCTCCCCCTGTCTCTTATGGTGAACCTGGAGGAGGTGCCAGTTTGGACGTGTCCCCACTGGGTTGTAAGTCGGCCGGTTGGGAGCATTATGGTTGGGCCCCACTGAGCAGAAAACCAGCTGGTGGGGAGCCCTGAAAAGGAAGGTGTTTTTATTATGCCGAGGTGAGAGCCTTGAGGAAGTTAGATTCGCAAGGACGGTTTCTTCGGTTACTGTATGACTATATGCAAATTGTTTACGTTAATTTATATTTATTATTTCGTTATACGTTATACAGTATTTGGTTGTGTTAATAAATGCTGTGGCCAGTTTTCTCCAAGAAGTTGTCTGTCGTTATTTGAAGGGGTAAGTTATGTTTTTTATGGGGGATGAAGGGAATGCTATCCAATGCCCACTACGTACATACATGTCTGTGTACACCACAGTCTACTCCGTATTCAGACAAATTTGGCCACTCATGTTAACCTGTTGTAATGGCTTGGCTTATCCAAATTCGGCCCACGTTCAGCCAGTTCTTGTATTCCTAAATTGCATATGTATTTTACTCAAAAGTCCTGGCTGCACTTGAACCTTATTACAGTCATATGCGGTTATGACAACTCTGTGTTATGCCTGTCTGCTAATTTCCAAGTTGTTCACGAGTCATTTTGTGTTTATTACTACGGATCTGTTTTATATCAATCTAGTATATGATTAAAAAAACAGGCATATATGAGTGTTAGGTCACACAATGCTAATGCTGTCTGAAATGAAATCACACAGTGCTAATATTGTCTGAAATGAGGTCACCAGTGCTAATATTATCTGAAGTGAGGTCACACAGTGCTAATACTGTCGGAAGTGAGGTCACACGGTGCTAATACTGTCTGATGTGAGGTCACACAGTGCTAATAATGTCTGAAATTAGGTCATACAGTGCTAATACTGTCTGAAGTGAGGTCACAAAGTTCTAATACTGTCATGGAGTTAAGTCACACAGTTCTAATACTGTCATGGAGTGAGGTCACACAGTGCTAATACTGTCTGAAGGAATGTCATACAGTGCTAATACTGTCTGAAGTGAGGTCACACAGTTCTAATACTGTCATAAAGTGAGGTCACGCAGTGCTAATACTGTCTGAAGTACAGTCACACAGTGCTAATACTGTCTGAAGTAAGGTCACACAGTACTAATACTGTCTGAAGTACAGTCACGCAGTGCTAATACTATCTGAAGTGAGGTCACACAGTTCTAATACTGTCTGAAGGAATGTCATACAGTGCTAATACTGTCTGAAGTGATGTCATACAGTGCTAATACTTTCTGGTGAGGTCACACAGTTCTAATACTGTTATGTAGTGAGGTCACACAGTTCTAATACTGTCTGAAGTGAGGTCACACAGTGCTAATACTGTCTGAAGTGAGGTCACACAGCTCTAATACTGTCATAAAGTGAGGTCACAAAATTCTAATATTATCTGAAGTGAGGTCACGCAGTGCTAATACTGTCTGAAGTGAGGTTATATAGTGCTAATACTGTCTGAAGTGAGGTCACACAGTTCTAATGCTGTTATGAAGTGAGGTCATACAGTGCTAATACTGTCTGAAGGGCGGTCACACAGTTCTAATACTGTCTGAAGGGCGGTCACACAGTTCTAATACTGTCTGAAGTGAGGTCATACAGTTCTAATGCTGTCTGAAGTGAAGTTATACAGTGCTAATAGTGTCTGAAGTAAGGTCATACAGTGCTAATACTGTCTGAAGGTGATCTCATACAGTGCTAATAGTGTCTGAAGTGATGTCACACAGTGCTAATACTATCTGAAGTGATGTCACACAGTGCTAATACTGTCTGAAATGAGGACACACAGTGCTAATATTATCTGACGTGATGTCACACAGTGCTAATAATATCGGAAGTTAGGTCACACAGTGCTAATACTGTCATGGAGTGAGGTCATACAGTGCCAATACTGTCTGAAGTGATGTTATACAGTTCTAATACTGTCATGGAGTGATGTCACACAGTGCTAATAATATCTGATGTTAGGTCATACAGTGCTAATGCTGTCTGAAGTGGGGTCACACAGTGCTAATACTGTCATGAGTGAGGTCATATAGTTATAATACTGTCTGAAGTGCGGTCACACAGTGCTCATACTGTCTGAAGTGATCTCATACAGTGCTAATAGTGTCTGAAGTGACGTCAGAGAGGTCACACAGTTCTAATACTGTCTGAAGTGAGGTCACGCAGTTCTAATATAGTTATGTAGTGAGGTAACACAGTGCTAATACTGTCTGAAGTGGTCATACAGTGCTAATACTTTCTGAAGTGAGGTCACACAGTTCTAATACTGTCTGAAGGAGAATAATCAGGTAGAGTAATACTCACAAAGATGGAGCTGTCATCATAGGCTCAATGTGTAATTAAGGACTACACTCCTATAAGCAGGAACCTAATGCCCAAATTGTGTGTAAAACTACTATTTATTACAGGGTATCTCCCAACATATATTAAAAACAAAAATTAGCTGTACATAAAATAAACACACTATAAAGGCAAAGTCTTTATTTTGAGAGATTACACTTGATTCTTTTAGCATCTGTATTGCAAAAGATCTGGTCGGAGCACTTGCATTGTATATTGTATTTCATATACTGTATCCAATAATAAGAGGAACACAGACCAACATTAAACACAACCTCAGAGGTCTCAGTATAGATTTATTTGGAAACAGGAAGCTTACACACACCTCCAGTACACTCCATAATCAACAATGAGCAATCTGATATTGGATAGTTTATACAGAATTCCTCAACTTTTTTTAATCTTCAACAAGGAAAGTGAGGTATATCAAACAGAAACTTCCAGAGAAGTCAACAGATATTTATATTTTAGGCATGGAAAGTTAAACTGATTTTAAAAAAGTGCTACCAGTCGTATTTAATTAGAAAAACAAAAGGTTTGAGCACAGGTTGAGATGAAAAAAATAATACGTGACACTATTGCACATGTTCATTTAAAAGAAATGCTTATGTGGAAATGTTTGTAACAGTGACACAAACCATGTAACAAAATGGTCTACACGTGGTTATTCTCTTGTATGGGCTGCTAAATGATGCACAAGACATATCAGGCTTACAAGCAATTCATAAGTGGTTTGGATCTCTCTGCCCCCTTGTCCATTTGGAAAAAGCTGCAAAACGATATATTATGGCTGATGCAGGCAGGGGCTCTGCTGTTTATCTGAGAGAAGTCAGTTGACACTCTCAGCCAATCAATGCTCACCATTCGGAAAAACAGTTTGAGAAATATATGTACGTTTCTTAAGCCACTTTGTGAAAGGGCAGCCACTGGTTGGCTGAGAGCGTCAGCAGACTGCTCTCAGACAATCAGCAATGCCCTTGCCCTTAGCAGCAATAAATTTCCTTTTGAAGCTTTTTTGGCAAACAGAATTACAGGGAGGCAGAGAGATCTGTTGCTGGTACACAGAATATGCGCTTAAACCATTCATGAACGGTCTATCCCCTATGGTGAGTCTGTGTCAGGAACCTCCTGGCACCATAAAAAATTCATTTTAATTAAGTTGTTATGGCGCCCATTAGTTACTTTAATAAGCTTTCCAGATGATTCCATACTGTTTTGTGAGTGAAATGATAAACCAAGCATTAAAACAATGTGAATAAATGTAAAAACAGAAAAAGTAACGTGAGACAGAAATTGAATTTAGGGTAAACTTGTAGTCAACATTAAAATGTAACTATTTGCTGTAAGTGCTAAGTCTTCAATATCTACAAAGCCTAAAATGGACAGTAAAAGAAATATTGGTTGTGACAGCATATCAACCTTCAAACTGTTGATTGCTGAACCAATTATTTACAAGTAACTAAATGAACCAAATGAAAATAGTTTCTACTTTATTAAGAATCTACAAACATTTTCTATTCTAGTGTGCGATATGTATCAAGTTTACAGTCACTAGTGAAACATTAATCACCGCAGAACATAGAAACCGTAACTATCTTTTGTGAGTTTTCAGATGCTTATTAAAAGCAGATTTCAAGACAAAACCTTTCCCACATTCTTGACATGCAAATGGTGACACGCCAGTGTGAGTCTTCTTATGCACATCAAGATCTGAATTATTAGTAAAGACTTTACCACATTCAGAACATAGAAAAGGCTTGTGTTCTTTGTGAATGTTACGATGTGCATCAAGATCTGTTGTTTTGGTAAAACACTGTCCACAATCAGAACATATAATAGGTTTCTCGTCTACGTGAATTATCAGATGTAGATCAAGATCTGGGCGATTGACAAATGACTGTCCACATTCAGAACATGAAAATGGTTTGTCTCTGTGATCTTTTTGATGTGCCTCAAAATCTGAACTTTTGGTAAAGCATTTCCCACAATCAGAACATACAATTGGTTTTACATCCGTGTGAATCAGCTGATGTGCAAGAAACTCTGACTTAGAAGTAAAACATTGACTACACTGAGAACAAACAAATGGTTTCTCATCTATGTGAATCATTTGATGTAGGTTAAGAGTTGAGATACTAGCAAACCATTTTCCACATACCAAACAGATGAATGGTTTATTCCCTTTGTGAACTTTTTGATGTGCAACACAACCTGATTTTTGGCTAAAACATTTCCCACATTCAGAACATGCAAATGGTTTTTCCCCTGTGTGAGTTCGCCGATGTGCAACATAGCCTGATTTTTGGGTAAAACACTTCCCACAATCTGCACAAGCATATGGTTTCACACCTGAGTGAATTCGCCGATGGTTAATGAAACCAGAAATGCTACTGAAACATTTTCCACAATCAGGGCAAGAAAAAGGTTTCTCTCCTGTGTGGATTCTCTGATGGGCAACATAACTTGACTTTTGAGTAAAACATTTCCCACACTCAGAGCATCCAAACGGTTTCTCACCTGTGTGGACTCTCTGATGAGCAACGTAAATTGATTTCTGTGTAAAACATTTCCCACATTCAGAGCATGCAAATGGTTTTTCACCAGTGTGAATTCTCTGATGTGCACTAAGATATGAGGAATTGGCAAAACATTTCCCACATTCAGCACAAGAAAATGGTTTCTCTCCTGTGTGAATCCTTCGATGCGCGATATATCCAGATTTTTGAGTAAAACATTTCCCACATTCAGAGCACGCAAATGGACGCTCTCCTGTATGGATTCTCTGGTGAGCAACATACACAGATTTTTGGGTAAAGCATTTGCCACAATCATAACATTCAAAAGGTTTTTCCCCTGTGTGTATTCTCTGATGGGTAATGTAACCTGACTTTTGAGTAAAACATTTACCACAATCAGGACATTCATATGGTTTCACACCCGAGTGAATTCGTTGATGGTTAACAAAACCAGAAATACTGCTAAAACACTTTCCACAAGCTGAACAAATAAATGGTTTTTCACCTGTGTGGATTCTCTTATGTGCAATATAACTAGATTTTTGGCTAAAACATTTCCCACACTCACCACATGAAAATGGCTTCTCTCCTGTGTGAATTCTATAGTGTGCAACAAAACCTGATTTCTGAGTAAAACATTTTCCACAATCTGAACACACAAATGGTTTCTCACCTGTATGAGTCCGCTGATGGGTGATAAACCCTGAAACACTGCTAAAACATTTCCCACACTGAGAACAAGAAAAAGGTTTTTCTCCTGTGTGAATTCGTTGATGGGCCACATAACTTGCTTTTTGGGTAAAACATTTTCCACATTCAGCACAGGCAAATGGTTTCTCTCCCGTGTGTATTCTTTGATGTGTGATATAAATTGACTTCTGCGTAAAGCATTTCCCGCAATCAGCACATGCAAATGGTTTCTCCCCTGAGTGAATTCTCATATGAGCATTGAGATATGAGGGGTTGGCAAAACATTTCCCACATTCAGAACATGAAAAGGGTTTTTCTCCACTGTGAATTCGCTTATGTGCGATATATACTGACTTCTGTGTAAAGCGCTTTCCACAGTCAGAACATTCAAAAGGTCTTTCCCCTGTGTGTATGCGTCTATGCGCGATATACACAGACTTCTGAGTAAACCGTTTCCCACAATCAGAACATGCAAATGGTTTCTCTCCCGTGTGAATTCGCCGATGAGCAATATAACCTGACTTCTGGGTAAAACATTTTCCACAATCACCACAAGCAAACGGCTTGATGCCTGTGTGAATTCTTTGATGAGTCAGAAAGCCAGAAATGCTACTAAAACACTTGCCACAGTCAGGACACACAAACGGTTTCTCTCCTGTATGAATCCTTTGATGTGTAATAAAACTTGCCTTCTGACTGAAGCATTTTCCACAATCAGGACATACAAATGGCTTCTCTCCAGTGTGTATTCTCTGATGTGCAATGTAGCCAGACTTTTGAGTAAAACATTTCCCACAATCAGTACAGGCATATGGTTTTTCACCTGTGTGAATTCTATGGTGATTAACAAAACCAGAGATGCTACTGAAACATTTTCCACAATCAAAACATGCAAATGGTTTTTCCCCTGTGTGAGTCCTCCTATGTGCAATGTAGCTTGATTTTTGACTAAACCGCTTTCCACAGTCCGCACAAACAAATGGTTTCTCTCCTGTATGAATTCTTTTATGTGCATCATAACCAGATTTCTGTGTAAAGCACTTACCGCAATCAGAACATTTGAATGGCTTATAGCCTGTATGAATTCTGCGATGTACAAAAAGATTTGATTTACTAGCAAAACCTTTCCCACAATCAAAACACATAAACGGCTTTTTGCCTGAATGGACTTTCTGATGTCTAAGAAGTTCTGATTTATAAGAGAACCTTTTGCCACACTCGGAGCATGCAAACACGTTTCCATGAGTGTAGTTGCTAATGTGAGTTTCTGGATATTCTGGCTCCTGCTTTATTGTAAACATTAAGGACTTCTGGAAATGTTCATCACTGGAATGTGCTTCCTCAAACTTTATTCTCATAGATTTTCTCAAACTTTTTCTAGGTACACTTGCCTTGATCATGTTCTCTCTCTGATAACTTAGAGCAAAGAAACCAAGGTCTTCCATTACCCAGTCTGATGAATTGAGGGTAAAGTTGTGTCCATCGGCAGTTTTCCCCAAAACACCATCTGGTAAAAAAGAATATTTTGTTCTGACACAGTATTGACATTATATTGTTAGGTTTACAGAACATAAAGCATTCTACTCTGTTCTATTTCCCCATGGTGGTCAGGCAATAGCTATAGAAAAAGCTAAATTGCTCAGTGGTATCAGTCATACCATCCAAAATGCATTTAAGACAGCTCTGTCACACAAAAATAGATTTGTATCATTCCATCAATCTCTCAAAACTGTCACTATTAAAAAAAAATCTACACCCATGTCTTATAATAGCAATAGTGCATGCATTAAAGGTTAATTAATAAAGCATTGGTAGTACACTGATAACATTTACCAGTGTTGTCGTAGTTATAGTGGAGTATGCCTTTAATAACAGAATAAATATTTTTATGACAGAGCTGGCTTATGATGACCACTAATACTATGCACAGTAGTTTTACATTCCTAAAATTAAAATTCATAAAATGAAGCTTCTGTTCATGTCAGTTCAGAAGTCACTGCTAATTGTTTATTGAAGCTTTAATAAAAAGAAAAGACCAGAGCTAAAAAAATATATATAATCACTATGTAGTAACATTGCAGAAAAGCAAATATAAGAAAATGTAGAGGGGTTTTAACAAGTTTATTGATATAATAGGTTGCCATAGACAGCAATATTCTGTATTATTCAGAGATCGCAGTGTCCAGGTCCCTAAATAAATGTATTGAGCAGCAAGCTGGACACATAGGAAATAGCCCAGTGATACCTGCAAAATTAATAGTATTAATAGTATGGCCCTTTAAAAACATTATTTGGGCATATTGAGACTTTTGAGACAGTGCCCCTTTAACACTGTGTCCCCAGACTGTGAAAATACTTTGTTCGTGTCCTTTTCCTATATGGCTCGGTAATTGGGGCTTACCAAATTGCCGAACCGGCGGACCACACACAAGTGGAGTGTGCAGCCCATTTACCTCCCAGGCTGGTGCTTAACCGCAAGTTAATTGTCGAACACTGGGTGGCCCCCGTTCATATAGTCGAACACGTGGCATTGGCCATCTTCTTTAGTCGAACCTGGTCAGCGGTGTTTTGCCATCGAGCTCATGGAACTGAAATCGGTTACACAGCGGCATGAACACCGCTGAACCTTACCTTCTTTGCCACTTCAATGGAAATCATATGGATGGATGCATATTCGAATGCCGCATTAATATGGGATTTTTTCACGAACGGACTGCCGTTTGTGTATTCAAATGGGACGTAATGAAACAGAACGACCGCACACCCCAAATCTATGGAACTCTATTGGGCAGGAAAGCCATGCTTGCAGTCGGTCAAATAGGACTACCAGCTATCTTCCAAACCACTGAACAAATACGGATGAGTTTTACATATGTCTGTATACTGATTATGCTGGTTCCGAATATATAACTTTTATAGAAATTGTATGTATAGTTTGGAAGTTATGAATATTGTATAAAACTGTATATTTTCCTGCCTGTGATAATTAAGTTAGCCCATTGTGTTCAGTACTTATAGCACAGGCAGAGGGGAGGGTTTGTGTGTAGTATTTGGGAGTGTTTAAATGTACAAGTCTGTCCTGATTGGTTTTTCCAACATTATGTCCTGTATTCCACAAGGTCCACGTGGGTGGTAACCTTGTGGGAAAAACTTGTATATAAGAGACAATAAACCCTAAGACTGCTGAGTTCCTGTTTTACCCTCAACATAGAGCCTCGTCTCATGTGTGGGGGAAAAGGCTGCATCTACACTGGGGATTGCTATATGCTTTATACTCCCCTGGCTATAATCACTAAGCTCTTTTAAGAGCTTGTTCCTGCTTCGCTCTCTGAAGGAAGAGAGGTTCATCCACTGGAGCCTGGTCGTAGGTCCAGGTGGGGTAGGAGACCCCCAACCAAGCTGCGGTGGTTCGTGGGGTCTGCAGTGCTTATGGTGTCGAATGGAGTGCTTGGAGCCTTCGGGAAGCAGTAGGCGCATCCATCAATGGAGGTACCCAGACGGGGTGCTAGGTGATTCGTTACAGGTATAAATTTAAATTATTATTAATCATGAACTTTTTGACTTGTTAATAGATCACAGTGTTTTTAATCTTACCTTTTCCTTTGTGACAGATGATTTAAGTTAACACTTCATTGAAAAGGTTTTTCTTATCTTTCAATTTAGTAGATATACACCCAAAGAAAATATGCATTTATTTTTTCCCTGCACATTTCTCTTTGGGGGTATATAAACAAACAGCCTGCAACAGCTGCAGACCTGCTCCCCACAGTTCTTGCAAGCCCTTCCATCTTGCTCTTGCATAGACTTTTCGTATGTGCCAGGGAATACACAAATGAAAGGCTTCTCATTGATAAGGACCTGTACTGGAGCAGCTAGCTTGCACACACAATTGTGGCTTTCCAATAAGCTATAATACAGCATATTTAGAATGGGTGAAGACAATCTCGCCCTAGATCATGGCACCTGCCACTTCCATTAGCACTGTGGCTATAATATAAGATAACCGCCCCAGCTGTCTGATCAGCATTTCTATAAACCGTCACAAATATGACTGACTCCAGCAAGCTGAAGTGCTTTATGTGTCTTGCATGTTCTGTTAACTGTATTATCTCAAATTATAGCGATTTGCTCCCATACTAGCAAAATGCAAGACTAGTCGTGGAGTAGAGTTATTGGTAGACTAATACTGTTCCTCTCATTTGACTGTCACTTCTCTGCGGATGATACAATTGAAAAATAAACTAGTGTGTGGCGAAAGTAACCTCGCCACTGGTTTTTGGAGGGGCCTGCTTGCCAGCCTCTTGCCTCAGTACTATGGCCAATGTGTTGGTTCAGAACTATGAAAAAGCTTTCTGTTCCATCCACCTGTCTGTTTGGTAGATTGCATTCCCCTCTTATTCTAACACTGTACCGTTCGACTACCAAACAACCGCACGCACCAGGGACCACCCAGGAGCTTGTTAACACCTTGGAACTGAACCAAGCTATACCTGCTAGACTCTCTGGAGTAGGAGAGGTCCCACTGGATGCTGGATCCTGGGCTTTGGTCCAAAGTGGGTGGAGGACAGAGAGACCACAGCCAAGCTGTGGTGGCTAAAGGGCTACAGTGTTTATGGTGTCCAGTGCAGTGCTTATAGTACTCCAGGCTATTAGGAAGCAGCAATTGGCGCAGGCACCCAGTTGGGGTGCTAGGCGGTCTGTCACACAGTGTAAGATTTTTTTTTCCATGTGATGACTCATTTTCTTTAAAACATTTTAAATGACATCACAATCCATCTCAGGTAAGGTATAGCTAGAGCACACATGGCAAGTGAGGACTAATAGACACAGTTTGTCCTTTCTCCTCTTATCTGTATACGGTCTCCTGGCAAACTGCCAGGAGCATAATCAGAGTTTAGAACAATGGGGAACCACAGTTGAAAATGTCAAAATGTATTTGTAGCGGAGTAGTAGTATTATCCACGGTATCTCCGCTGGTAGACAGAATCAAAAAGGTACAAAGCAGGCAAAATCCAGGTAGCGTAGTTACAATCCCTTTCTCCCAAGAACTAGACGACATATAGCTTGGAGGTCAACTGAGGTTTTAATCACAGGGCACAGTATTTATGTGGTTACAAATGTAAGGGGTTTCCCAAGTCACATTACAGGGTTTGTCCAGTAGGGGACTACATGGGGGACTGAGTTTTACAGCCAGAGTACCCAGCATACATTGCTGTACCAAGGAGATAATTATCCCAGAATGCATTGCTAATGAGATTATCCCTTGGTACAGAGAAATACAGTTTTTATATTAAAATACATAACCAACATAATATTTGGGATAGACAGCTATTTAACCATTTATAATATAGCTGGGACCTGGGAGCAGAGTTAACGCGGTTCAGTTTCCCTTCTCAGGACCATTTCGTTTAACCGATTGCCTGAACTGAGGGAATGAAAGTCCCGAAAAACAGCAAACTCCCGAACGGCTCGGATGTCCAGCGGGGCTTGTGTTGCCGACTAGCCGATTTTAGTTGCAGGCACTCGACGACAAAACCCTGTTGACTTTCCGCAAACAAACATGGCCGCCGCCTCGTGTTCGGTACATGAATGGCGGCCACCCGCAACAGACCGCAATTAACCGAGATACAATGTTGCAAAGTACCCAATGGGAGACACACGACCGGCTATGGGTGGTCTCCCATCCGGTACTTTGCTTATTCCACGAACAGTGTGGTTATTCACTGTTCGTGGATAACCAGACTTAACCTTAGCGGCATTTGTGTGCTGTAACACACGAATGCCGCATACATTGCACAATACAAATAATAAAAACAGAACTATACAGGTGGCTTAAATAGACAGTTTAAGTCCATAAGTGGCTAGATTTGCCACATTTTTTATATAATTTTCTCATATTTTTAAATAAACAGTTAAGTAAACATAATATTTAAAATCCTGTAACTTATGTGCACCAGTCTACCAAGCCTCTATTGTTATGTATTTTACTGCATTTAAAGCCTGATCATCGATTGCTCATTATTGTTTGATTCAAAGAAGCATTCTCCACCACCACACACACACACACAACGTCACGCTTTTTGGGATGTAATATTCCTTTTTTTATTTCTTATCTTCTTTTGATAATTTCTTTCCAGGATTTTCTTTTAAGAAGATATTTTATTTGTGCTTTCTATTTTTTAATTTAGCTCTGTCTATTTATTCTCTACTTTTCAGTATCTTCAGTAAGCTGTTGTGAGCCAGAACGTTAAATTAAAAGAATGTTATTTGCTTTGAATATAAAACAAATTACACACGTATGTGATATTTTGCATACAATACAGCACACTAGAAAGTGTAGTTCTAAATGTGTTTTGATTTATATTATGTAGTCTAATGAAGTTATGTTTTCATTTTCATTTATAAAATGTAACTGGTGTATAGTTACACTGTGATCACCAGGTCTTCCACTTCTCTTGGTTACTTAGATATTATTATTATTGCACGTATAAATTATCTAGGGAACATAATTCTATCTAATCTTAGAAACTATAGTTGACCTTGTTAGTGCTTACTTACCTGTGATTCACACCCCTTTTACAGCCAACCTCTTGCATGCTGAAGTTCCACATTTTAGCACCACCTACCACACATGATGGGATTTACCTTTTAAGTCCGTTTCAAGGTAGTCATAGAAACTGTCTCCCGTGGTAAACCCCAAGTTGTAATGTATGCTTCCTTTAATGTAGCTTTTGGAAGTGGAGAATTTGGGAAGTGAGTTAGAAAATATTAAAAGATTTTTTTATTTTATTTAAGTCCCATAAACTCTGTAAAAACAAGGCTCTACTGTTGTATGGTGTCATGTTCATATAAGTACAACTTAACATAACTAGTTCCAAAGGCTTCTCTATAGTCTAATTAACTTGCGTCCACCTCCACAACTGAAGAATAATGCCTGAAGATGGTCTCTACTCTTAAGCAGCCACAGCTACAGAAGCCAACTGCGGTGGTTCACATATATGGAAAATTACAACCAAGTAATAGCAAAAAGGCAAAGTATTTACTCTCCTTGGGCATCTTCATATCTTGTATGGCACAACTGCAATTCTGCCTAGAGAAAATGGTCTCCAAAAACTCAGTGACATGGTAAGGAGTGAATTAGTCATAAATGTACCACTGGGAGTACAATACCCCTGCAATGGGAGATCCATGGGACAACTAAAATGAAGCAGATTTACAGAAACATTGAAAGAAGAAAGCCATTAATGCGGGTGGGGGTGGGGAGGGGCAGACTGTTTTGTGGTATGATAAGACTAAAGCTGAAAATTGGCACCTTAACACAAAGTAGATTCTGGTCACATCAACTCCATGACAAGGCCTGTTGGTGCTAGCATCATACTGTGGGGATGCATTTAATTGGCAGGAACCTGGAAACAGTGCAGGACTGAGGACAGGATGGGTAAAGCCTAATACATGTTAAGTGTAAGGGAAAAGCAGTCTCCAAGATACCGGAGACTGGGCTGGAGGATCTACAGCATTAGATTGACCCTAAACAATGGACTGATATAAAACCAAAAATGTTTTAAATGGACAAGTCAAAACCGATACCTCAATCTGATTTAGACTCTGTGGTAAGGCTTACTATTGCTTTTACCAACACTTCCATTACATCTCAAAAGAGCTAAGGCAAAAATTGCAGGATACAGGGCAAAATGCTGGTAGGAACTTATCCAAACAAATAGACAGCTGCAATATCAGTCAAAGGTAGTTCTACCAAGGTTTTACTCAATAATAAATACATATACAGCTAAAAAATGTTTTTAACTTTTGAAGCACACTAAGAAAAATGATCACTGTAATTTGCAAATCCAAACAAAAAAATCCCTTTTAATTTCAGCATGTAACACTACAAAATATGGAGACAACCCAAAGGGATGAATACTTACACAGATATATTTTTGCTAGCCATTCTCTTCCAATTCAAGGGCCTGATTACATAAAATGAGTTAATGTGGCGTATTGGTGCTGTGACTGACTTGTCAAGTTTCTTTTTATTCATGGTATATCTTCACGTGTGAGATTTAATACGTACCGTCTGCAGCCTCCATTAATATCCCACAATACTCTGCTTATATTTCCACTCAGTCAGCAAACACTATAGGAGAGCATTGTGACATTTATATGGCAGCAGAGTTGGAAAAAACCTCCAACTCAGCCGAGTTGAATTTGAGAGTCTGTTATTTCAGTAGATCGTCCAAAAGGTGCAGTACAAATTTATTAAACTGTGTATAATGAATTTCCCTGAAACGGAAAAAAAATACACATTCAAGGCACCTAAAATGTATTATATATGTGGTAACTGTGGCAGAACCAGCCTCGCCACTGGGCATTGGAGAAGACTGATTGCCATCCTCCTGCCCTGTGACTATGGCCCCTGTGGGACTTTGCCCTGTGTAAGCATTATTTGGGCTTATCGGATTTTGAAACACTTTTTCTGCTCCTTTGAATACATGAGGAAGTGTGCCCCTCCCCAGTTTCCTGTCTATTGTTCTCCAGCAGGGGGTTGTCCCAGGGACACTGCCAGACCAGTTGGAATTTGTTGCTAAACTTTAACCCTGTGGCGATTTGACTGTGTTTGTGGGATTTGAGCGCTGTTCGGATATAGTGAGCGCTCAGATCCAAGCTATCTGGGAATAGGTTGAATGTGGGGGTTCTGTTCAATATGATAGGAATTATGTATTTTTATGTGTTTTTACTGTTGTTGTAAATGGATATATTTTCTGTATGCTGGAGGTAATTGGCTTACCACACCCAAGCCATGCTTACAGCTGGTCAAAAATGGATTTCCAACTAACTTTTGAACCACTGGACCAATTTGAATGATTTTGACATATGTTTATATTTGTAGTATGCTGATTCTGAAAATGTATTGATTGGTTACCCTGTGGGCAGTACTATGTGTGTAAAATGTGCATAAAAGCAGTATGTTGGATTAAAGCTTCAGTTCTACTTCACCCTCAATTTGGAGTGGCGTCTCTTATTGAAGGAATCTGCTACAAGGGATTGCTATGCTCTGCATATTCCCTTGCTAAGTTCTTTTAAGAGCTTGTTCCTGTTTTGCTCGCTGAAGAAGTCTATGGTGGTTATGGTGTCTGCTGGAGTGTTTGGAGCCTACAGGAAGTGCTAGGAGCATCCCTCAACGGAGGTACCCAGTCGGGGTGCCAGGTGATCCATTACAGTAACTGACAGTATATTTATTGGGGAAATTGTGAATAAAATGAATGGAATATATAATAGGCTTATATGCTGCTTTTTATGAAGAAAAGAAAAAGTATGGATTTTATAAAAATAAAAAAAAAAGAAACACTCGCACCAGATTTTGTCAATGTTTAACCTTCTGTTTTATAATGTGCATTACTAACCTGCACCTGCATTAATGTAATTATTTATCTTCTCCTTAGACTGACGTTCACCTCTCACGTACGGCTCTTCTCCTCGTTCCATCACCGACACAATCGGAGGTGTTACATTGATTCGTCCTGTATGTGTAAACAGGGGTAATGGTGCACAATGAGATTTTGAGCTCACCCCAAGCTTGCCACAATGTCAGGACATAAATACAAGACATGCAAAAATGCACAAACTTAATAACCTATAAGGTCGCAATTTACACTATATAAATTTACTGGCAGATTATTAGCTAGAAAACACAAATTGGATTTAGTTGTGTTTAGACCAGTTATTTTATTATTTATATAGCGCCATCAGATTCCGTAGCGCTATACAATGGGGTTATGTGATTTTCCCTTAATGTGTTGGGAGCTACATACTATTTATAAGGCTGCATCATTAATACGCCACAACTCCAGCAAAGCTTATCAAATACTATACTCGATCAATTGCTTGTTTCTTTATTTCCCCAATTAATGTTTAGTTTCTCTCTTATTTTGGCTCTCCTTTCTAAACTGTTTGTCTAGTTTGCTTATAACTTTCTATTTTTTTCCCCCAGGCTAAGAGCTTTAAAGCCCATTATTACTCTATCCATGTCATTATTAACCAATTTGGTGGATCAAAGTATTACTGTCTTACACTGCAATTTTTAGTTTTTAATTATTTATTATTTGATGCATATCAAGTGAGTACAACAATGGGTTTGGTAGACGCATTTTGATTTGTACAGGATACTGGTTTTGAGACAGATATATATATATATATATATATTTATAATTGATGTCATTTTACATGCATACACTGTGTTAGAAGGTGGTAACAATACTGAGCATATGTTCAAGTGTGGATCGGTAGGGTGGCAATCTGTTCCGTTACTTTGATCACCTTGTAGGGTCGGGGTCTTGATCGATGCTCGTTGTTAGAGATCGTTAGTAGCATGTATCTTTTTGTCTCTTGAAGTTTGTATGCCCGTGAGAATTACGTTTTGTTATATTTGTATTTTCAAGTTAAATATAGCTACCGCGTAAGAACATGAATATTTTTAGTGAAGTGAACACAGATAGGTCAGCGTAAATAGGTGAAGAGATGAGGGTAGGAGGGGAAGTGGGGAAGAACAGACGGGGGGTAGGGTAGGTTATGGGATCCGCTGGTGTGGGTCGGAAGGCACTTGAGGACGCCTCCGGGGATTTTAAGTAGTAAGTGACAATGCGTCAGTGTGTTCGTCAGTGGTTAGTATAGTCTTCCCATGGATCCCATGTTTTGAGGAAGAGTGAGTAGGTATCTCTGATTTGTGCTGTTAATTTATCCATGAGATGGGCCTCCTTGATGTTGCGGATGACCCTCTCCATTTGTGGCATGTCCGTTTGCAGCCAGGTTTGTGCTATGGCTCTCCTAGCGGCCAGGTTTATTTTGTTGAGTAATTTTTGTTCTTTGTTAGGTAAGCAGTCAGCTGGTCTTGCTATTAGGAATGTCCATGGGTCGGGTCTTATCGGTCTGCGTAGCACTGCTGATACTAGTTGGGCTACGTCTCCCCAAAAGGTCGCAGCTTTAGGGCAGGTCCACCACATTTGTAGATATGTGCCTTTCTCGCCACAGTCTCTCCAGCATACGTCAGTGGGTGTTTTGCCCATGCGGTGCAGCTTAACTGGGGTGGTGTACCACATCATAAGTGTTTTGTAACTTTGTTCTTGGTGCAGAACGCATATGGATGCTTTTGCTGCTGCCTCCCATATGTCTTGCCACTCTCCGCTCTCTAATGTTTGTTGTAGGTCCGTTTCCCACTGTGTGACATATGAGGGGGTATAGGTCTTATCTGCTGGTGCATTTAGTTGTGTATAAAGGAGTGTGAAAAGGCCGGTATGTGGTCCGCTAGTCATGCATAGTTTCACAGAAGGTTGGTTTGGCGTTGGCGGCTGTCTGTACTTGTGTGCGTCCAGCAAAATCCTGGAGTTGTATGTACCTAAAGTGATCTTTGGTGGTTAGTGGAGCTAGTGTCTTTAGGTCCTCGAAGGTTCTGAGTGTGCCTGCTTGGTATAGCTGGTGGTATCGTTGTACTCCTGTCTTAAACTGCATTTAAGGCTTTTCCTCTGCAGTTGGTGCTGCAAAAAGTGTACGATATTACTGGTAGAAATAGTAGCACACCTGACATACTGCTCTTCTTGGCAGCCATTTTCTTTGGAATTTTCATTATTTTAAAAGTTTAATCACATCTTACCTGACAGTGATGCCATGTATTTTGCAAAAGTGTCTTAGGTTTGCACCTTGACTACATAAATACTCTCTCAACCACACGTATATCATACCTTTCCTACTCTTCAGACTTTCTCCAAGGCTACTGAATAAAAGGTGGCTGCCAGGGCCGGACTGGGAAGATAATTCGGCCCGGGCATTTTTTAATTACAGCGGCCCACTACAAAGGGGGCGGGGCCAGATAGGGTGTGTTTTGTCATCACCAATGACAAGCACGCCCCATCACAAAGTGAGCATGTTGGTTCAATGCTCTTCCAGGGTAGACCATGCGCAAAGCTCTGCTGAAGAGCTCTGACATGAGAAAAGGACCCTGTATTTGTTCTGCACAGCGCAAGCAAATTCAATAACATACTTGCACTGTGTTTGCTTGAAATTTGTCTCTGGTGTCTCCATAGGTGGGATACCAGGAGACAAAAATGCTAGGAAAGCATTTGTGCAGTGTGTGTGAGGGTGCTGTGTGTGTGTAAGGGGTGTAGTGTGTGTGCGAGAGGGGTGCAGTGTGTTTGAGGTGTGTAGTATGTGAGTGATGGGTGCTGTGTTTGCGTGAGGGTGCTATGTGGGTAAGGGTGCTGTGTGTGTGTGCTGTGTGTGATTGGGTGCTGTGTTTGCGTGAGAGTGCTATGTGTGTGTGAGGAAGCTGGTGCAGTGTGTGTGTGTGTGTGGGTACTGTAAGTGTTAGGGGTGCAGTATGTGTGTGCTGTGCATGTCAGAGTTGCAGTGAGTGTGTGCTGTGCATGTCAGGGGTGCAGTGTGTGTGTGTGCTGTAAGTGTTAGGGGTGCAGTGTGTGTGTGTGAGGGTGCTGTAAGTGTTAGGTGTGCAATGTGTGTGTGTGAGTGAGGGTGATGTGAGTGTGTGTGTGGGTGCAGTGTGTGTGTGCTGTGTCAGGGGTGCAGTGTGTGTGAGTGAGGGTGCTGTGCATGTCAGGGGTGCAGTGTGTGTGTGTGTGTGTGGGTGCAGTGTGTGTGTGCTGTGAATCTCAGGGGTGCGGTGTGTGTGTGTGAGTGAGGGTGCTGTGAGTGTCAGGGGTGCAGTGTGTGTGTGTGTGTGAGAGAGAGTGAGGGTGCTGTGAGTGTCAGGGGTGCAGTGTGTGTGTGTGTGCTATGAGTGTCAGGGGTGCAGTGTGTGTGCTGTGAGTGTCAGGGGTGCAGTGTGTGTCTGCTGTGAGTGTCAGGGGTGCAGTGTGTGTGTGAGTGTGCTGTGAGTGTCAGTGGTGCAGTGTGTGTGTGTGTGCTGTGAGTGTCAGCGGTGCAGTGTGTGTGTTTGTGTGTGTGTGCTGAGTGTCAGGGGTGCAGTGTGTGTGTGCTGTGAGTGTCAGCAGTGCAGTGTGTGTGTGTGTGTGTGAGTGTCAGGGGTGCAGTGTGTGTGTGTGTGAGTGTCAGGGGTTCAGTGTGTGTGTGTGTGAGTGTCAGGGGTGCAGTGTGTGTGTGTGTGAGTGTCAGGGGTGCAGTGTGTGTGTGTGTGTGTGTGAATGAGGGTGCTGTGAGTGTTTTGGGTGTCTGTGAGGCTGATGTTAGTTAGGTGATTATTTCCCCCCTCCTTGCTTACCTTTAGCCTTGGAGGGGGATCCTGCTGCTGGGGCTGCAATCCATCCCTGGTGGTCTTAGTGGTGAGTGAACTCTAGCCTGTGAGGCTAGAGTTCACTCTCGCGAGACCCGGAGCGTTGCCATGGCAACGCTCCGAATCTCGCGAGAGGAACCCGGCGGAGCTGTTAGTTAAAGCTCCGCCGGGTTCCTCTGCTGGCAGGCTGGCTCCCTCCCTCTCTCCCCCGGCGGCCACACTATCCTGCATGTGGGCCGGTGAGGGAGATCTCTGATCTCCCCACCGGCCCGCTGGAGACTGCTGCAGGGCCGGCGTTCAGATAGCGCCGGCCCTGCAAAGACCGGCAGGAGAGATCATGTGATCTCCCTGCCGGCCTCGGCCCCATGGCCACCGCGGCCCACCGGGCATTTGCCCGGTGTGCCCGATGGCCAGTCCGGGCCTGGTGGCTGCGCTTCTACTCTTCTCTTGCCCCACCACTTGCCCACTCGATCCTGTCCCATCTCACCTTATCAGATTTCTCTCCCCTTGTCGTGCGCCTTTCTTAACACACATCTTCAACTGCTCTCTCTTCTGGCATTGTCCCTGCTGACCTTAAACATGCCATTGTAGTACCTATCCTAAAAATATAAATAAAAAATGTTGACCCATCCTCCCCCTCTAACTATCGTCCCATATCCCTGCTCTCTTTTTCCTTAAAGCTTATGGAAAGTCTTGCCTTTAACCATATGTCTCCCTTCCTCAATTCCAACTCTCTCCCTGACACTCTTCAATCTGGCTTCTGCCCTCTCCACTCTACTGAGACTGCTCTTATCTAAGTTACTAATGACCTAATCGCAGCTAAATCCAAAGGCCACTACCCCATACTAATTCTTCTTGACCTCTCTGCTGCCTTTGACATCATGCTCTCCTTCTTCAAACTCTTCAATCAGTCTCTGTGACTCTGTCCTCTCGTGGTTTTCCTCTTATCTCTCCCAACACTTATTCCGCGTCTCCTTTTCTAATGATACCTCCTAGCCTCGTCCTGTCTCGGTTGGAGTCCCCCAAGGCTCTGGCCTTGGTCCCCTTCTATTTTCTCTTTATACTGCCTCTCTTGGCAAGCTTATTACCTCTTTTGGATTCCACTACCACTTGTACACTGACACCCAGATATATCTCTCCTCCTCGGACCTCTCCCCTGCCATCCTGCAATGTGTCACTGCCTGCCTTTCTTCCATCTATGACTGGATGTCGTCCCGCTTTCTGAAACTCAATCTCTTTAAAACGGAGCTCCTTGTCTTTCCTCCTCCCAATACTGATCCTACTCTTTCGCTCTCCCTTCAAAGTAGTGGTATCCACATAAGTCCATCCTTGCAAAAACGCTGTCTTGGCGACATACCTGATTCTGGCCTCACCTTTGAGTCTCACATTCTGTATGTTGCCAAATCCTGTAGATTCCATCTTAAAAACATAGCCGCATCCGCCCCTTTCTTATGGAAGATGCTACCAAGGAGCTTGTCCATACTCTAGTAATTTGCTGCATGGATTATTGTAACCCTCTACTATTTGGTCTTCCCAAAAGCCATATTACCTCGTGACAGTCTGTAATTAATGCTTCCGCCAGACTGATTTTCCTCACCTGTCGCTCCTCTCACACCTCTCCTCTCTGTCAGTCCTTGCATTGGCTACCTGTATCCTATAAGAATCCATTCAAAGTGCTAACCCATACCTATAAATCACTGAATTCTAGCCCCTCATATCTCTTCACAGATCCATAGGTATGACCCTTCTCGGTCTCTCAGTTCTGCCCGTGACTTTTTCCTGTTCGCTGCTCGCACCCATACGGCCAACTCACCCTTGCATGACTTTTCATTGGCGGATCACTGCCTATGGAATAGCCTGCCTACTGCCATCAGACTCTCCCCTAGTCTTCAATCGTTTAAGAAGTGCATTAAAACCCATCTCTTTAGGAAAGCTTATGGCCTCCCAGAGTAACCTCTACCTCACATACCTGTATCTTGCTCGCTTATAAAGGGCAGCCCTCTACTCTCTCCTCCAGCTCTGCTTCACTCCCACCTTATTTGATTACTATTTCCTGGCCTAATGTGCTCTATGCCCCACCTCCTATAAACTGTAAGCTCGTTTGAGCAGGGTCCTCTACAACCTATCGTTACTGTAAGTTTTTTTTTGTAATTGTCCTATTTATAGCTAAATCCCCCCTCTCATAATATTGTAATGTGATACGGAATCCTTTGGCGCTCTACAAATGGCAATAATAATAATTACATGCAAAACTATGTATTTCAGTAACACATTTTCATGGAAAGAGAAGTCAAATATTTTGGTTAATTTTCAATAATTTCAGATCTGTCTTTGGTACTTGGAGAGAAACACTTTGCAGTATTGGTTTCTCCAATAGTGCACAAAGAAAGATTTCACAATACTTTATCCAAACTCCCTCATTCGAACAGCGCTAATGCCGGGACCCGGAATGTGACGTCACCCCAGCCTTGGCGTTAGTACGGAGCTGCTGGAAGCACCAAGGATGAGGTTCCATCCAGATCCATTTAAAGGCCAGAAAATGGAGGCTGGGTGATCCCATATTAAAAAAATAAATAAAAAGAATAAAATGAAAATAAAAGTGTGTATTTAGAGGCTTTGTGAGTCATATCTATGCATAAATTTGTGTACGTGTGTGTTTTGTGTGTGCCACAATAACATTTCAGCCTCAGGTACCATGTAACCTAGATACTTATTTATGGAAGAGGCTCAACCAAGCACCCACTGTTTCTGTGATTCAAAAGGGCTTTTTAGGAGAAATGCTGCATATAACCAAAAATATCAAGCAGTAAAGCACAACTCAAAACTTTTTGGGAGTGTGATAAAGAAGCTGTGTGTTAATATTAAAGAGACTTTATCTTATAGTAGAACCACATGTATATAAAAAAATATAGCAACTTTATTGAAAAGGGAAAAAAAATTAAAAAAAAATCTGCTATTCCCCCAATTACCAGACACATCAATTAGATCTGCTGCCCAAATGTAATTGGATCTCACGACTATTTGGCATTCCTGCCGGATTTCTACTTTAATCAGGCTCAGCCTTTTAACCCCTTAAGGACCAATACTTTAACCCAGGGTTGTCAAACATGACGCCCCCCAGATGTTGCTGAACTACAACTCCCATGATTCCCTGGCTATCTGTTTCATTGAAAGAATCATGGGAGTTGTAGTTCAGCAACATCTGGGGGGCCGCATGTTTGACAACCCTGGGTTAAAGTATTCTCTAGAAGCTGAAGGCATAATCACCCCTTTGAATTCCTACACGATCTCCTAAATTACCTATTAATTCCTGATAAACTCCAGTTTATAGTTTCCAGATGCGAGTATTATCCTCAAAATCTGATTGTCCAACCCTCCTTCGAGAGATGCAACAAGAACACACAGCAATAGTCTAGAACTGCTTGTTGAGCCAATGGGGTTGTTCCAGTGCCAAGCAATTTGAAAGTGTCCTCTAGTCTCTGCAGGGGCATAAGCAACTGCTAACTCACTACTTTAAGGTCACGATGAGATCTGGGATCACAGAACTATGGGCTAAGCTCAAGATTGTTGAAAGTGGCACCTATTCTACTTCAATAATACACATCCACACTTCTTCTTCAGGTAAATTATGCTGGCTACTGATGAAGGTTAATCTCCATAAACCCAATACATTTTTTGTCATCTCTAATTTGGGTCACTTTACTCTACAGAGATTGATCAATGCTATAACCAATAACACCTATACTTACCTTCTGCAAGAGCAGTAAGGATTCCCGCTTTTCCCCTACCTCTCGGCTAACCAAAATGTCCTATAACCTTGTGTTTGTGGTGGCCCGATCAAGGAGTGATGTTTATGGTGGTGAAATAGGCAGGCTTCACCACTGTTGTAAGCCTAGTAATCTGAGATGCTCAAAATTATTTTCAGAAACTCATTATATCCCATATCTTTGGGGACATTTTAATGCCTGAAAATCCAGCACACTGGATTTCTACTCCATCAAACAAATGCATTGTTCTTGAATATGTTCTTAAGACCTGGCCTTGAAGAACAGGGATATCAGCCATCAGTTCTCAGGTGATGGAATATCCTGACTGAGAATATCCCAAACATTACTACCCATAGAGCAGATATAAACCACTGTAAGCTAGCACTTGGTGTCAAATTTGACTATGTTTATCTAACCATATATATTTTAATAAATAGCACTTTAGTCTGAAAATTAATTTAGAGAAACTGCATATTCCTATTTGGTCAAAGCCTGAATAAAATGACCCGCCCACCCCAAAAAATATACTATTTGATAAAGATAGAATCTTCATGAAAGGCTCACATTGACAGTGTTCGAATTTTGCTGAAATTCCAGTGCAGTCAAAAGATAGAAGACAAAGTAGGAACTTTGTCCTACACTTGACAATAGGTGGAGCTACTGCAGTCAAGTTGTGTCAATTCGACCAGTGTCAGTAATGATGGCTGTGAGGTAACAGTCATTGCCTATGGAGGTTCCTGTGGTCTCATTAGATCCTCCAAGGACATCATTGTTATACTGTTAAGCATGCACGAGAGTACACCGCTGATGTGGGCTTCTGGCAGATGAAGCACCAGGAGCTGAAGAGAATCCACCAGATGGTCAGGGTGGAGGCTACGAGGGGCTCCGCCTGCACTCCCAGGCCACTACAATCCAAGCAATGAAGTCACCATCAAAGGTCTTTGCAAAATATGCAAAGACCCTAGAAGGTGACACAAATGCTTTAAATAGGCTATGAGAATCCATAGCTCATATCTTTAAAAAAAAAAAAAAAAAAATCTAAATTCTCTATACAATTAACAACCACAACTAAACACATACCTGGCACACATATAATTTATCCCAGAGTTTCACTGGCACTTGGAATGTTACTTACAGTCTCCACAGCGAAACAAACATTTTTGCCCGTAGAATAGCTTTTTGTTTGAAGTATGATCTCTAAGCAGATGCCGGATTTTCTTTGTGTAGGGCTGTATCCCCCAAAATTTTGAGGTTCTTACGCCAATGCATGTTTTGCCTTCTTTTAGAGTAACAGTAACAACAGGAATGTGTGAAAGGTTAAACTTGATGGACGCGAATCTTTTTTAAAACTGTATTCAGAGCTATATAAACTATATTACTGTGCAAGCCATTAAAACAATATTATCACTATTGTATAAAAAGTGTGTATGTTTAGTCATCCTTACTCCTATAGAGAAATAACTTGCAGAATGTATTGTGACAATGATCTGAAATTTAAAACACATTAGATTATAAGGAATTTGTCATCTTCCTGGCATACAAGATCCTAAATAAAATAATTCATCCTAAAGGAAAATTATCAGAATAAAAAGTTGGGTTGCACTCACAGTACATAAAAAAATGTAGTGTTTCTTTTAATACTCTGAAAAATCACACAATCTTTACTAATTTCTATTTTAAAAATATATAGATACACATACACTGTCTAACTTCATCTCCAACATCAATTTAAATGGACTTTCCCAACCATATTGGACTTTATTTTTCTCTCCTACACTTGAAATTTAGAAAGGTTGCAACTTTCCTTTTTTTTTTCCTTTTAAGTAATCAGGTCAGTCTATCAAAATAGGACATGTCAATATCACTCTACAGACCCATAGGATACTCTCTCAAATTTCGCAAAAGGTGGAATCATGCATGGGAATTATCCGGTGCAACTTCACCATGGACGTTGGGAACGGGGCACAGAACTGGACGTTCGGGAGATGGCAACTGTTTGAAGAAAAGATAGTTTTAATTTGAATATGTAGGTGTGCTCCGGATATGGTCTAAGGCGTTAAGTAAGGTGGTTAGGTGAAAAGGGAGCTACAAGAGTCAATAAAGTGAGGGACAAAGTTTGAGGTTTTGTTTTTTTTTTAAATTTGGAGAAAAAACAAAATGACCCAAAACAATCAGAAGTCTTTTGGGGATATTCCACCACCGCAACTGAAAAGAGGATGCCCACTGAATAAGATAAAGGTCATCAACCACAGCAACGAGGACATAACTGGAGCTTGTTCAGTTGAGAAACGGAAGGGAATAAAACCCAGAACCCTACTATTAATACCCAAAGTGTTACCCTCAACTTTCTAATGGGAAGGGTTTCTTACCTAGAGATTTGAGGGTCTGGTAATTCTCCATCATCACATCTTTGTAAAGGGACTTGTCTTCATCTCTTAAAAAGGCCCACTCCTCCTCTGAGAAATAAATGGCCACTTCCTCAAACTCACACTGATCCTAAAATATATCAAAAGAAAGGACTTTGATAATCGATTTTTCAGAAGCAGAAGCCATAAATTTTTTTATCACAACGTTTAAAGCACGGCTCGACAAATCCCACGAGCCAGGAATGAGAGGGAATCCAGGGCTCTGATTTGTGAGCCCATTCAGGCCCCGAGGTGGCTGGCTGCCTGAGACTGCTGAGGCCCCTGAAGGATGCATCTCACTGCTCTCTCACATGCCCTGCAGTGATACCAGGAGCCAGGCTACTCTGGTCCCTGCATCACTAAACAGTGCACTTGAGGGAGCAGACCAGGGAGATTATCTAAGTAGCCCCACTGGACCCTATGGAAAGCCAATCCAGTCCAGAACTCCCAAAGATAGGGAGCCAGGGTGGACAGATTAAAATAAAACAAAATTTTGAGAGTGTATGTAAAAATATGTGTATTTGAGTTGTGTTACAGTATCAGTGAGTGTGTGTGTTTAGGTGACCTGCCACTCTCCAATCACATTGGATAGGTGTTTTTACTCACCGTTTTCCTCCACATCGTGCGGGTCTTACTGTGGCTGGCCCCACTTCCACAGCTGCTATGGATTTCAGCCAATCCAATGCTTTCCTATAAGAAAGCGTTGGTACACTATTGTGCATGCGCGGCAAAAAGCTACACTGCTCCAATCAACATCTCCTCATAGAGATGCATTGAATCAATGCATCCGTATGGGTAGCATTAAGCGGCTCCATGCAGAACATGGGACGCTAAACGTAGGCCGTCTAACTGACTGTCAATAGCACAAAGTAAAATCTGCCTTTTGTCTGAAAGGCCTGCAGGGACATACTATAGACATCAGAACAAATACACAAGGCTGTAGTGGTTCTGGTGGCTAAGTATTTTATTTTTGATGTTGAAAAACCAGGCCTAACTTTAAGCTGGCTCCTAGATTCCAAGCAAATTTGTCAAACCCGGGCTTTAAGGATTACTCCAAGCACATGGTCACCGTGCCTGGGGTCTCTGTGTGCATCCTTTGCTATGAAAAGCTGCACTTACAGAGGTTAACTCATCTGCTGATGGATATGAAACTCCATCACTGGCCGCATCATTAGCCAACCAAGCACAAGCTGTCTAATATTAATACTCTTTAGTTATTACTTTTCCTTATAAAGAAAAGGTGTGATATATCCATGCTGACATACATATTAAGATACCTCCCACAATCGTATTGGCTGAGAGCAAGTTGTTGTGCATGTCCTACCTGTTTATTCAATTGGTAAATCATCTCCAAGATAGGATCCAGCATCTCCTCACCATCTTCTAGATTTTCCTCTTTCATATTCAGACAGTCAAGTTCCTCAGATCGAATCCTTAATAACACCTTTTACCTCACCCTCCAACCTGCAGTGAGATTAACAGGACCTACTAATAATTAGCAAAGACTAGCCACAACAATAGGATTACCTGGATTAACAAACTGCCACTTCGCCACATTGATTTGTTCAACTTTTCCAGACTATTTACCAGTAGGCACACACAATCTTCCTGGATTTCCGCTTATTTAATTCAAAGGGCTTCACTTCAGCAGTATTTATTCCAAGCTCAATTGTTATAGTATTTGTAATAATACTGTCATTATTTTTATTTATTACATATGCAATATGTTTTGCAGAATTACCCATAACTCGTTGTTATATAAACAGGACTTCTTTTAAAGTCAGCATGATAATGTGCTCAGTAATCTGGGTTCTGGCGGAGTTAGAGAGGAAGTTAGTTTTGTGCTTGGAATCCTTTCAAGATCAAAAAAAAAAAAAAAAAAATGCTGGATCATAAACATTATGTAAAATGGTTTTATGCTCTGCTACCTTACATAAAGTCGTTCTTAGAAATAAAGAAAAATAGGGCAGGACCTATATTACTAGATGAAACCGCAGATAATCACCAAGTCAGTAGCATTGAGCATCCAGAGCGGGTACTATATCAGGACTCACAATTTTCACTCACCCTTGTGATTGGCAAGTAGGGTCCAGGGTTTAGAGCTCCAAATTGTGGAGTTATGCAAAACGCAAGGAACTAATTCTTATAGCACTTATCAGCACTCCTCCTGCATCAACCGTTTAGGAACTGTGCCAATACCAGAACAAACACAGATCCATGCGCTGTCCTCTCTTTACTCTGTCGGATGTTGTGGGAGAAACAAGCAGGTGGTCTGAAGGCCTGCAAGTCACACTTTTTGCAGGATCTGAGTTACAGGCAGCAACATGGGTATACTCCCCTTACATAATCCCCTTTCTACAGCCTGTGTGCAGGTTCTCACATATATCTTTCCTAAACTAGATTCACTGGTTTTAGTGATGACCTTGTAAACAAAGAGGCTTTTAGAGATTTAAGCTCCATTAACGCTATTAGTATATTCAGTGCATCAATAATCATGACTTAAATAGTCACAATTGGGGAAGCACACCCTATGTATTTCATCAGTCTGGCTGTAATCCAGGTGATTTAGTGTTTGATGTTTAATGTGCAGCAGGTTTGTGCGTTGATCCGCAGATCAGTTAATAGATGAATTTATTGGCTGCACTGATGGGAAAGAAGATAAAAAATGTAATCCAGTGTCTCCATTTGTGCTGGATTTCAGGCAAGGTGAGGTTACCTGTCACAGCCAAGTAGAAAAAAATGGGACAAAGCACGAGTGGATTAATGGCAAGAAACACACACTTGGCTACATTGGAAACCAACAAGAACAGAACGCAGTCAGTACGCGCAAGATATGGGGCGCAGCAGTCAGTACGCGCAAGATATGGGGCGCAGCAGTCAGTACGCGCAAGATATGGGGCGCAGCAGTCAGTACGCGCAAGATATGGGGCGCAGCAGTCAGTACGCGCAAGATAGAGTATGGGGCGCAGTCAGTCAAGATATAGTACGCCAAGATAGCGCAGCAGTCGTACGCGCAAGATATGGGCAGCAGTCAGTCAAGATATGGGGCGCAGCAGTCAGTACGCGCAAGATATGGGGCGCAGCAGTCAGTACGCGCAAGATATGGGGCGCAGCAGTCAGTACGCGCAAGATATGGAATAGAATTAATAGAAGAATAAGAGATGGATAGGATGCAGACAAATTAAGGTAAAAAAAGATCAAAAAAGAGGAACTGACAGAACGTGTGGTCAAAGGACAGAGGTTTGGGTGACCAGGATATTAATTAGACCAATTTGGATAGCTATTGTAAGCACTAAAACACATTTCTTCTGAAACTGAGTGTTTTATGAACCCTTAAAATAAATATTTATATATTATATATTTTATATATCTCTAAAAAAAAAAAAATACAAAATTTAAATTCAGTGCAAATTAAAATATCAGAAGGCATATCTGGAATACCAGCTGGAGTACAGGAAAACTGCTGCTTAAATTTTGAGGATAAATGAATCTAGGCATTACCTCTAACCATATCTCTGCACGCACTGTAAGACTTTGCAAAAACCAAATCAATGAGCTCTAAATGCCCCACAACCCACCATCCAACGGCAATGTGTTTCTGTGCCAATGTATTAAATGCACAAGTCTACCAAATATCATCCAATAGTGAAAGTAGAACATGGTTTTCAAAATAAATAAGGACAAACAGCATTTTTTATAACCAATTGCAACTTTGAATACCCAAGAGACACAAAAAAAGTTACAGATTATCTATCTTCTTCTTTTATACTCTGCAGAAATATGAAGGAAGACATTATTAAAGATTACAAAGCATCACTTTCTCACATAACTTCTGGAATAAAAGGGAATCATGACATGTCACACGTCATGTGTCCTTAAGGGGTTAACAATCGTCAGCAGGCCTGGTGAAGGGTCTATTTTAGTAAACTGTACACATGACTGTATAAATAGAATTGATAAAAACACTAACAATTGTTGTGGGTATTTATAAAATCCACTGATAAGGCTGGGCTCACAGCTTGCCAAAATGTCATCATAATGTGTTGCAATAATACCACATACAGTAAATACCCCTTAATGGGTTTTATCTCAATGTAGTCCAGACTGGCACTGTAACCTACCATGTTGCAGAGTCCTCCCCTGCTGGTTACATCCCGCTAGAACAGTAAGCATAATGATTTTTCGAGGTAGCGTCAGATCAGCTTTGCTCAGATACACCAGAATGAAGCGTTTCAACTGAGGTGGACAGTTAAGGGTCATTTTAGTTTAAAACAAAGCTAAGCCTACACTACAGGGTTAGTAAGGAAGGGATTACCAATGAAAAAATGAGGGTGCAAGATCTGATTCTCAGTTACCTGAGAAATGTGCCAGTTTGACCTTACACACAAAACATTAGCGCTCTCCACTCCTCTAAACGGCATCAACGTGGACGGAAATCTAAAGCATTGCAGGAGAAGAGAGATAGACTATTAATGGGGAATCCAAGTAAACTGCTTACCTCAAAGAACTGTCACTCCAGCATCTTTTCTCTTCCTACAAGAAAGATTGCCGACATTCTCCACGACTACCAAATAGTGAATCCTACAGAACAAGAGACAGAAAGGGTTATCTTTGCCTGGCTAACTTCCTCGGGAAGTATAGTAGAACATTTGATCTAAAACACTGTAATGGTGGAACATTGAAACTAATACCTGCCTGCAGCAATTGTTTATGTAGAGAAAAACGATTATTAAATGAAAAAATTACAAATAAAAAAATATTTAAAATTGAAATGTGTTCCTACTGACATGGGAGAAGAGCTGTTCAATAAATAGAAAAAATATTCAAATGAAATTAGCCTAAATTTTAATTTCCTTCTACTCGAATTCTGACAAAAACAGGTCTTGTCCAACACTCAAAGGTCCCGTTGCCACCAGATTATGGATGAGGAAGACGTTTAACTTTCACATTCAGTGTAAAAAGCTACCACAGCTTGCGTGGCAATGATAAACGTCAAGCACTGGGCCTGCTTAACTGGCAGTAAGAACGGCCACCTCCTTGGTAACAGCAATCTTTATTGGCAATATCTAGAATGGCGACGATTTCTATATGTACCAATTAAATTGATTTCTGTTAACTCCTTTTTAATTTTATCTTAAAGCGACACTGTCATGCCGAACTTACCTTTCCTCAATTTCTTCCTCTTCTCCCCCTCTCTCAGGATCTGTTCTTCTTTTCTTCCTGTCTTCTTTAGTTTTCTTTAAAATCATAAGACAAAGTAGGGATTCTTTGCCTTATGGAGGTTTCCTCCGCTTGACCAGCTTTGACCAGCAGAGGAGCAAAGTGTGCTTCATTTCCGCTGGTCAGAGCAATTTTCCCATGATCCTTAGCTTTCCTCCCTGTTCCCACGATGCTTCCGGTCAGTATTGCCGAACGTCCTGTCACTTAGACAGAACGCCGACAAAACTTCCGAATTGCATCCTAACAGAATGAGAACAGTTTCTCCATTCGTGTTAGGATGCAATTCGGGACTTTGTTTGGAACGCAATTTCATTAGAACGAATGAAACTCAGATCCTATTCGTGCTGTGGCTGCATCTTGCAGCCGCTTAGTAGATAACTCCCTAATTCCCACGGTATCAGGGAGTTATCTACTAAAATGCTGTAAGACCTAAATTGGTCTTTCAGCCAAATTTACTAATACTAAGTAAAGATTACTTAGTATTAGTAAATTCTGCCCCTAATCGCTATGGGGCATGTCTATTAAACAGTGAGCAGCCTCAGATTTTAGAAAAAAGAAGACATCAAATGGTAAGTTTAATTTTTGTTTACAGGGACCCCTAGTCACCTTGATTGGGGGGAGGGGGTGAATTGTTATTTAGGGCCCCCACCCACCGCTCAGGGGTGGGGGCCAGGGGTGGAGGACAGTAGGTCCCCCCCCCCACCATACTTATATAGGGCCCCCATCCACCGCTCAGGGGTGGGGGCCGGGGGGGAGGACAGTAGGCTGCTCACTGTTTAGTGGACATGCCCCTACTCGCGGTATAGCGAGTAGGGGCATTGGGGAGATTTTAATAGAGTGAGGAGGGACCTGGGGGGCTTATGAAGTGGCGGGGAGCACTGCTCCCTGCCGCTTCTATCTTTACATATTACAAGGAGGGAGCTGCGTGCCGGTAGCTCCCTCCTTGTAATAAACTGAACGAACAAACGAACACTAATATTCAGTGTTTGTTTGTTCGTCTGACATTTCTATTCATTCATTCGTCTTTCTGATGAATGAATGAATAGATGAGATTCCCGTTCGCATGTCCAAGTGTTTCACTGAGCATGTGCGGGAATCTCACAGTCTGTCTAGTGTGGGCTGATGACGTGTCCCACAGGGACTTCATCTACCTACACAAAGATGGCGGCGCCCTGAATATAGATCGGGGCAGAAAATAAAGATTAAAAAATAGGTAATATAGGGGGCTTAGGGGAATTTGGGGTTTACTAGGGGGTCAATTAGAGATAGTGGAGGCGGGAGAGGGTTAAAAAACAAATGACAGTGCCACTTTAAAAACTAGTAGATAAAACTTCAGTTAAATTGCCTATTCAATCTGTTATAAATTAGAACTTTCTTAATATCAGGTGACCACTCACTTTCTTGTATTATTTACCCAGACCCACACATTTTGGAGTTTATCTACTAATCGTAATTATGGAGAAAAAGAACAATGCTCACGTTACATACATTTCACTATTTTCCCTTGAAATTTGCTATTTCCTAGTCATTTCTATTACATGCAGGGTTTTGACAACTACCATTTCATATTAATAAAAATGTTACAGTATCTCCCAAAAGTGATTTCACCCCTCACATTTTTGTAAATATTTTATTATATCTTTTCATGTGAGAACACTGAATAAATGCCACTCTGCTACAATGTAAAGTAGTAAGTGTACAGCCTGTATAACAGGGTAAATTTGCCGTCCCCTCAAAATAACTCAACACACAGCCATTAATGGCTAAACCGTTGGCAACAAAAGTGTGTGTGGGGTAGGGGGGTCTGACAGCTCAGGCTCTCACCTCGGCAAATTAGGACCCCATGGGCCATGTGATCGATGTGAAAGAGTGGTCACATGGCCACAATAGGCGTCCACCGCCTGAACTGACAGGTAGTGCCCCTGCTGGTGAAACAAAAAAAGTAAAAAAATAAAATTCCTACAAAAAGGATAAACATGTGAAAGAATAGTCTCTTTCTGTAGTTTTTATGCCCTGCTTTCTTTCTCACACTCATATGACACTGAGCACTCTCCTTCTCTGCACATTTTTTTTCATTTTTCTCTTTTCTCTCACTTCACTCATCACGTATTGTTCATTATCTGTTCACAGTTTGGATCACTTCACCTTGATTTTCTCCAGTACTTTCACATCACACAAACAACTGCTGCTTTTCACCCGTGCTCCTTCACTTCTCACCACTCCTCCTCCACATCCTCCCAGACACTCCTCCTCCACATCCTCCCATCCCTCCCAGACACGACTCCTCCACATCCTCCCATCCCTCCCAGACACGACTCCTCCACATCATACCCATCCCTCCCAGACACGACTCCTCCACATCCTCCCATCCCTCCCAGACACGACTCCTCCACATCCTCCCATCCCTCCCAGACACGACTCCTCCACATCCTCCCAGTTAGACTCCTCCACATCCCTCCCAGACACACTCCACATCCCTCCATCCCTCCCAGACCGCATCTCCTCCACATCCTGCCATCCCTCCCAGACAACGACTCCTCCACATCCTACCATCCCTCCCAGACCACGACTCCTCCATCCTACATCCTCCCAGACGACTCCTCCATCCTACCAGCCCTCGACCACGACTCCTCCACACTACCATCCCTCCCGGGCCTGACTCTCCACATCCTACCATCCACTCCCAGACCTGACTCCTCCACATCCTACCATCCTCCCAGACCGCGACTCCTCACATCCTCCCATCCCTCCCAGACCGCCTCCTCCACATCCTCCCATCCCTCCCAGACACGACTCCTCCACATCCTACCATCCCTCCCAGACACGACTCCTCCACATCCTACCATCCCTCCCAGACACGACTCCTCCACATCCTCCCATCCCTCTCACGACTCCTCCACATCCTCCCATCCCTCTCACTCCTCCTCCACATCCTCCCATCCCTCTCACTCCTCCTCCACATCCTCCCATCCCTCTCACTCCTCCTCCACATCCTCCCATCCCTCTCACTCCTCCTCCACATCCTCCTATAACTCTCATACACTCACTGTGGCGACCTCGCCACTGGGCATTGGAGAAGACTGATTGCCAGCCTCCTGCCGTGTGACTATGGCCCCATGTTGAAATGCTGGATTTTCCCCTGCAAAGACCCGAAAGCGGAGTCATTCGGTCCTTTCCCTATGTGAGCAGTGTTACCCCAGATAGCTATGCCATGGAGCCCATTCGTATAACGAAAAACTATGTGAAAGACTTTGGCTCCATGGCAATTGAACTGTATGTATGTGATCTGGGCGCCATTCAGTAATAATGTGTGCTCAGATCTAAGCTATCTGGGGATATGTTGAATGTACCTGTTTTATGCAATAGCTGCACAGTTATATATTTTTATGTATTTTATTGTCTTTTGCTACCATGTGGCTAATGGAGTTTTGCCTCTGTCCTTGGAGATAATTGGATTACTTCCCAATTATCTCCAGGATAGAAGACTCTGTGGAACTGGTTTTGGGCAGAAAAACCATGCTTCATTTAGTCAAATAGGACTTTCCCTTAACTTTTTAACCCCTGAACTGATTGCCCTGATTTCTGAATATGTGTATATTTCAAGCATGCGGATTCTGAAAATGAAATTTTTATGAAGATTGGACGCATATTTTTAAAGTTATAGCACATGTATAAAAACTGTATTTTTCCTGCTTGTGATAATTATGTTAACCCATTCTGTACCATAATTATATCACAGGCAGAGAGGAGGATTTTGTGTATAATTGCTGGGAGTGTTTTCTGTAATGTACGTGTGTTATTGGTTGTTCTGTAAAACCCTGTGGGCAGTACTATGTTTGTGGATTGGGAATAAAAGAGGCTGTATGTGCCAGTACAGTCAGTTCTGCTTGAACTCAAAACGAAGTGTTGTCTCGTTATTGGGGATGATTTCCAGTGCCCCAGTGACTTGATAACATGAACTGGGATGTTTGCACTGGATGCTGTGGAGGCCGCTCCTATGCAGAAGGAGTGGGCCGAATAGTTAGCTGATTTGAGGCCCAGCTGTGTAAGTAAAGACCTGACGTGTGTCATAAAGGTGGTGGTAGTGAGTACAGAACCTTGTAGACTGAAAAGTGGTTGATATGGTGATGCGCTGTTATGCTGGGTATATGAATCTAGTAGTTTGGCGGGGCACCACCTGTTGTGAGTAGGATAGTATTTAACCTCTACTGGAGGTACATGTTGACTGGTTTTGGAATGAGGCAGAGTCAAGATATAATAGTCCATGTGTTTTGTTAAGTGTGAATGAAGTAGGATGTGAGTGGACTGTGTTGTGCTGATGGCGGTAAATTCTCTTGGTCTCAAGAAACCATAAAAAGCTACG